CAGTTGTCTTGTCGCGACTGAATCGCGACGATCAAATCGCATGAACTCTGCCCGAGGCCTTAGGCTGATCGCACGATTAAATGGTCGGGCATTGCAGACACCTGAGCGTTGGTAAACTTGATGAACATCCATTCCAAAACCATAGCTTTATACCCGCTCTCGCCATTAAAAACTACGCGCGTACATTGTCATATGTCTGTAATGCCCCGCCCACTATACTCCAAGAGATTGAGAACAGCATTTACACAAGTATCTAGATATACAGATCTGAACTTACACGCAAGTGAATCCAGTCAGTTACTGTCGCGGTCTCGCTGTATACAGTTTCTCTTTCGTGTTCACCATCATCTGCGGGAACAGCAGGGGCAGGTGCTTGCACTTTCACCGACTGTGAAACCGAAGGTACTTGCATGATTTGTGGAGGTTTCTCCTCTCGCTGCATAAATGGAGTGATCGGTGGACGAGCTGCATAACCTTGTGGATAAGCGGATCGAATATTACAAGGATCGATTCTTGGATAGCCGCCAGTGATCTGGCCAGGTGGAGCTGCCACGTAGACGGTAGGACGATAAGGATACGGCTGACTGTTCATCTGGTAGATGGGTTGCATAGCTGGCTGTCCAGGACGAGCATAGGTTTGGTATGTCGGTGCACCAGAAGTGTACAACATCTGCGGTTGAGTCGCTTGCACTCGTCGATTTGCTGGCGGAGGTTGCTGCATGACCGGAGGTGCGTTCGTTGTCTGGTTAGTGTAAATGATCTGCTGGCGCATCGGTGCCAAACTTCGCGATCTTCCATGTTTTGCTGTGTTCGGCGGACAGGCGCGACCAACAGTATGCTGCTGATAGTTCATGTTTATTGATTCCTGAAAATAAGAAAACTTTCTTGGAGAACTAGAACGTACGCATTATCCATCACGCTATTTGAACCAAAAGGGGGAATTTCAGCACATGCGCCTAACAGAAGAAAACGAAATTGAAACTTCTACAGCCCGAGTACTTCGCGCCAATTCATTCTGTACCCGACTTGGCAATTTGCCAGCGTTCAAATCTGAGGGAAATGACAGACTTCTCCG